ACAGAAGTGAGCAAGTATAGGGGTGGACCCGTGCAGTGGGCTATGAGAAAAGAAAGTTTATTTACCCTGAAGTCAGAAGTGGGGTGAGTTTGTCAGAAAAATCGAGGTGCAGCAGAACTTCATGTGAGAATGATGTGCTGCCTGCCTGGCAGCCAAAACTTCTAATGTGTTTTGGGCTTATCTCTTTGGAGAAGAAAATAGAGGAAAAAAAAAAGGGGGGGGGAGGGGGCGAAGAAAAGGGACCTTCTAACAGTCAGCTGTTTCCTAAAGCTACCTAGTAAGTCCATCACTAAGACACACTTCCATGTTCAGACATTAACTGTTTCTTACTAGAAAACAAAGCAACAACAAAAAAAAAAAAAAAAAAAAAAAAAAAAAAAAAAAAAAAAAAAAAAAAAAAAAAAAAAATAAAAATTGATGTTGCTGTCAGTTTGTAGTAGTGAAGATTTACTTTGGAGATCATTAGATTCTCTGCCACCTTGAAATTCCCATGTGGTGTTAGTATGTTGTTTGCTTTCTGATTTGAGCTATGTCCCTTGGAAAAGGTCATGTCTGCAGTGTTTTTAGAATTTATGTTTATTTTCCCCAGGTGTGCAACTTCAAAGCAGCTTAGCTACTAGCATCAGGCTCTTCGTGTTTAGGGGGAAATAGCCTCAAAAATAGCACCTAGGGATATGGAGTAGGTGGTGTATGAGTTCACGGGTTTTTTACTTGCAATTTTAACTGATATATATTGTAGGTTTTCATTAGGTGTTATTTCGTTCATCATACCATGGAATCGCCCTTCTTCTCATCATGCTGAGAAGATAGCATGGATAGCAGTCTGTGGCACTTCTAAACTACTCTGCTAAATTAGTTAGCTTTTAAAAGGAATATGTGCTGCTTTGGTGTATCAGGGTATTGACCTAGTGTCTGTAGCATCAACTATTTTGATTTATCACTGCAGTGATCTGCTATTGTGTCTTCTGCATCTCAAAGAATAGAAATGAAACTATTTGCTAGTCTGAATTTTCGCAAAAGGGAGCACTTACATTATCATTTGGTCAACTCCTAGAAAGGACCAGGTGGTTTCTAAATGAACAGCACATTTACATAAACAATGGACTCTTACTGAGTCATTCTCCTGGAAAGTACCATCACTGTGTTCCCAGGAATTTTCATACATTAGCTATAGGTGGTAAACACCAAAAAATCATGCCTTCCCTTGTGGCATAGGCATGTTTTGAGTGATTTGCCCAGGATGCCAGGGCAGAGGAGGAAGCTGAGTTTGTGTGTGCAAAATATCAGGGTGGTTATGTATTGCAGACCTGTGGTGGAGGTTATATCTGGCAGGCTTAATACAAAAAAGCCACAGGGTGGATGTTCTTGCAGACTGTGTCATTTCAGCTTTTTCCATTTGTGAAAGGGGGTGTGTGTGGGGAGCGGGGGGTGTACTGTGTGTGTGTCTTCTCCATGAAGACTGAACCTCTGAGACAGAGTCTGTGTTAACAGTTGCTCGGTACTACAAGGCATCTGCAGCTAATTTGCCTAGGCATAGTTCTGCTCCCCAGCCTCTGCTCCGGGCATTTCTAATTTACCTGTTGGATTTTTAAGTTGGGAAAGAATATGGCTCCTGCCAGCAAAGAGAGGCAGAGCAAGATCAGGTTTTTCCAAAGCAGCACAATGCTAGTTAGGACTTGGCCCGTGCAGGACTTTGAGCTTTGTCTCACTTGTGCTGACACTTTCTCTCTGCCTTGTGTTTACCAAGAGGTAATGCCTTGCATTTTCCTGCTTCTAGACTTGGAAAATTAAATACTCCTTGAACAATACCTTGGCTCTGGGAGGTTTCCCAAAGAGTGTTTCTGACATAACATCAGTCTGGGGATAAGCTAGCATCATTGGGAACAATCGGGATCAGTTGTTACAGTGAATGCAGTGCATCTTCACTGAATATATCACTGTTTTTCCAAGAGAGATCTCAGTTGCACTGCAGTGTAACACATGCTGCTTGATAGGATAATAATGGGTTGGGATCTTTTCAGTTTTCTTTTGGAGTCATTTTTCACTCTGAATTGCTGGTCTTTTATTCATTTCTTCCTTTGGAAGTGAAGAGGTTGTGGGCTGCTGAGTTAATACAGAAAGTTATTGCTCACATACTCTCTTCTTGGAGTGGAAACAATTTCTATTTAATTGGTTAAAATTGTCTTTCTAGTGGTCATATGTTGGACAGCTTTAAAATGTTGTATTAGTAGATCTAGACACTTCATTTGAGCAGTGGTGACACATATCAGGCAAGGTGACAGCTGTGCCAGTGAGCCCTGTGTCCATGCATCAGTGAATTTCTTTTTGAGGCAGATAATGGCAAGGGTTTTAAACAAACAATGTAGTCTTTAGCCTTTGACAGCTTCCATACCTCTGCCAAAAGTTAATGCCACTGTTCTTATACTGTGGTCAAGTATTGTCACTTTTCTATTATGCACTAGGTCTTTGTGAGCTGTTTGATATTACTAATCCTAAATTGAATCTAAGCAGTATCATACTTGAAGCTGACTTGCATCATCCTCATTCAGTCCTTTTATAGTAAATCAATGTTAATGTGTAAAAGTTAGACATGCACAGCTCTTTTACTCTGTTAATTGAATTATGAAAAGCTTAAAAGGAAAGCTTAACACGTCATTGTTAAAGCCTACTGATGTCTTACAAAGATGTTGCACTCTCAATATGGCAGTATTACTTGTTTGCAGTGATAGCTCTAATTGGAAACCTAATAGGATACAAGAGATTTCTACGACTATTACTAATGATAATATATTTTTTTAAGTCTGTGGGAGTTTTTTATTGACAGTCCCTTGGGCTGAAGCTGGACATAAAATGCGAAATGTTGAAATATTTCTCAGTGCCTCAGAGGGCTGTATTCAGTGCTAATCGCACATCACATTTCTTGAGTGCTGAAGTGCTCTCTGTTGGCAGTTCTGGTGATATAAATTCCAACAGTAAATCGGTGCTAACGAAGTTCAAGTACCTGTTCCCGTTCAGTAGCTCCACCTTTAGGGGAGGGATGGGGGGGAGGATGATTGCCAGCACAACCTGCAGTAATGACAGTGTGTCAGTAGGTTGCTAATAGGTACATAAAGATGTGATTCCTTGGAACAGAGACTAAGGGTGCTCCAGAGAGTCCTTTTCAGTAAGTTTGCACAGTTATTTGGTGTCTTTCCAGAGCCAGAGCTTCCCTCAAAATACAGCACTTTTCCAGTCTAACGCACAAGTGGTAGCTGGAGAATACTGAGTGCCCAAATATATGGACCTGCATAAGACAGGGACAAGTCATTAAGGTGGAGTGGGATACCAGGAGTGTTCAGGATGGAATGGCTTTTACTTTAATTTAATACTGATCTTGAGCTGTGTGGGGTTTTGTGTTCTGGAGAGAAAAATCTTTCCCTTGTGGCTGGTGCATCATTTGCAGAGAATCTATCTACTGCTTTCTTACATGCTTTCCTTTCCCTAGAAGCATGCTTTTTGTCATAATTTCACCATTGTTGAATTATCTAGCACCAACATATTGTGAAATTTTATTAGGTTAATCTGGAAAAAAAATGTTAGGTTTGATAACAGAATTAATTCTGTTTCTCTCTCCTGATTCCCCTGCTGTCAAGAATATGTTCACCAGTACTGGGAAGAGCAGGGGGGAAAAAAATGCCTCTGATCTCTGTTTACAATTTATGTTCTTGCAATTGTATTTCTGCTTGTAACATTGTTATTAACACTTAGTGATTACTCTAGTTCCCTGCATGTTAATCAAATGCACATTGTCATATGTATATTGAATTTATTGTATTGCCTTCCCTCTCAAGTGATACTGCTCTGCGATTATAATAGTATGAAAAGAGCCTGGTTTTTGCCTTCTGTCTTAGAGGAGCCTTGTTAAAAGAAGGAGGAAAGAAGAGCAAGGCTAGATTTAATTGTATTAGGAATGTTAAGATCCATCCCCTTCAGAACAAGGGGAGAAGAGATTTCTGAAACCATGGTACATCCATGATTGAAAAAGCTGTGTCAGCACCTCCTGTTATGCAAATATTTTTCCAGCTCTGGCATCTTACAAACAAAATACTGCCATAGCAGTACAGAAGGGAAGAGCCAGCAAAGGAGTCCTACACCATTAATGGCTTTATAGGTTGAGCTGTACTTAGGAATTCTTGGTGACATATGGCACTCTACTGACATAGACATTTGATCTCTGCAACACCTTTAGTTTGTACTGCTTGTAGTGAGCTGCTGGCAGGTTAGGCAGAATATCAAATAAGCAGGGCTAATTTGAGAAAGTGCTGTTTTAACTTGGCACAGTGATTTTAATTCCCCCTAAAAAAATGCAGTTCCACAATGCAAGCAATATCAACAGGGTAAGATCATGTGGCCTCATCTTAGAAATCAGTGCAGTAGAATGATAAAAGTGTAGAAAATTTTGACATTTAATAGCATCATCATTAATTTGGCTTCCTTCCATTATACTATGAGCCTTTGTTTAACAATAATGCAGGATATATTTTAATTTTGAAGAACACATAAGATTAATAAAATGAACGTATATCCTTAATTTGTTTTGTATGGTCTTTAATGTGGTACAGTTCTAATAAGACTGAGATGGAAGAGACATTTCTGAAATACAGTAGGAAATAGTTATTTTAAACTTAGTTATTGTATTGTATTGTATTGATAGTGTAGTATGTTTAGGAGTAGTTCTGGGCAATGCTGCTCTTGTAACTGTCAAGGGAGAGAAAATGGAAATCATACCCCACCTCTAGTTTCTAAGCTTTGCTAAACAGTCTGGAACACTGATAAGTTCAGGCAAGATGTCTGAGTGTTTGAAAGCATTCAGTATTGTTTTAAACCCTGTCTCTACTTCAGGTGGTGTATGAATAGTAACACTGAAATATTTCTTCCATATCATACTTGGCAAATGTTAGAAGTCATATTTATTTGAGCTCTGGTAGTATTTCTAAATTATTTTGTTTTTTATCTCTTAGTGCTGGCCCCAAAGGTGATAACATCTACGAATGGAGATCAACCATTCTAGGACCTCCAGGTTCAGTCTATGAGGGAGGTGTTTTCTTCCTTGACATCACATTTACCCCAGAATATCCCTTCAAGCCTCCAAAGGTAAGAGACCTGTAGCTAACATCTTAAGTCATGAGTGCTAAACATGGGTAGCATGCAGTGTTAATGGAGCACAGCCCATTTGAAAGCCACTCTTCTTAAGAAAAAACTTAAGCTCAGTTTGAACATTACAGGACTTTCTATTAGCTAATGTTAACAGCTCTTCCAGTCCTCTTGATAATTATCCTAGAGCTTGTTTTCTTTCTTCCTGCTTCTGTTTATAAGAAGTCCTAAGCATTTAGTGCAAGCATTGAGACAAGACTGAGAAACTGAAAAGTAAGTAAACTTGAGAAGATGAGAAATGCTACACACTTATTTCTAAAATAACTCAGGTACTGTAAGCATAAGCTACATGTGTTTTGGCCACCAAAGTAGTATTTAATTTTTCAGTTTTGTTGGACACTTGTGTTGTTCACCTATTTGTACAGTACCAAACTTTCTGTAGGTGTGTTATATTTGTGAAGCTCTTACATTCCAGTGTTGTTGTGTTCCAGTGCTCTGAGGCAAATACCAGTGCAAGTGAATGTTATCCAGTAGTTCCAATATGTGGCCACAGGAAAAGTGTTGGGTTACAAGAGGAGCTTGTGTATACACTTGGTGTTTGTCTTGTATCTGAAGGCATTTATGTGCATGCTTAACTTTCTACTTAAAAGTTGTTTGATCAATGAGATAAATGCCAATGACTGCTCCATCTTTCAGACTTTGGTGTAGTCTGCAGCAGAAAGGACTTCTTCAGGCCATCAGTCCATTTCAACAGAGCAATGCTAATTGTTTACACAAAACAAATTAATAAAAGCTTGCCAAATTAAGGAAACTGATTGCCTGTTCTTGTTCACATAATTTCAGGGTTTCTGGTAGTACCAACAGGCCCTTAAATTCTACCTCTAAGATAGGGCTCTGATTGACATACAGCATGGTCTACCTTAGGACATCTCTAGTGCTTTTCTGCTGACATCTTTCCATCTCTTTTTGGAGACTCTCTGGCAACAGGTGGTTCTCATGTCAGAATTTACTTCACTTTAGAGTAGTTTGTTTGTTTGTTGTTTATTTCAGTTTGGGGTTTGTTTTTTTCCTTTTATTTGCTGAATATTTTGTTGTCCAGCCAACTGCATGCAATTTATTATGTTGTGAGCCCAGTAAGCATTTAAAAGAGGGATCTTTTGCTTTTCCATGTGTGCTTTGTTACACCTTTGCTTTCTATGGTACAGGTCAGGAGCATTTATCAATCCAGGCTTGTTCAGACTCATCTTAGAATCCTGGAAGGGTTTGGGTTGGAAGGGGCCTTAAAGATCATCTAGTTCCAACCTCCTTACTGTGGGAAGATATGCCTTCCACTAGACCACGTTGCTGGAAGCTCTATCTAACATGGCCTTGAACATTTCCAGGGATGGAGCATTCACAAACTCTTCTGAGCAACCTGTTCCAGTGCCTCACCATTCTCACAATCTAAGGAAATCCCTTAGATTTCCTCTTCATAGCTCATCTAAATTAACTCTTTTTCATTTTAAGACCGTGACTCCTTGTCCATGCCCTTGTAAAAAGTCCCTCTCTAGCTCTACTGTGGGCCCTTTTAGGTATTGGAAGGCCGCTCTAAAGTCTCTCTAGAACCTTCTCTTCTCCAGGCTGAACAAGCCAAACTCTCTCAATCTCTCTTCATAGGAGAGGTGCTCCAGCCTTTTGATTGTCTTGATGGCCCTCTTCTGACCTCCCTCCAACAGGTCCATGTCTTTCTCATGTTGGGGGCTCCAGAGCTGGATTCGGTGCTTCAGGTGGGGTCTCACAAGTGCTTGTGATTGCCAGACACAGGGGTAAGGACCTTGCACATGGCTCATTGAACTTCATGAGTTCACAGGCCCGCCTCTCTCTATTCCTCCTAGGCTACCTGTCCTTGCTTCCACTTTCTGTACAGCTCCTTTGTGTTTGAGTTTGTCCAGGAGCTCCTTGTTCATCCATGCAGGCCTCTTCCCCTCCTCTGACAGATGGATCCCATCAGTGCCCAGCAGACCTGGTTTCCCAAAGCAAGTCCCATGGTCTAAGTAGCCAAACCCCTGTCTGTGGCACCAGTCCCATAACCATTTGTTGGTTTGCTAGATTTGACTAGCCCGTTTGAACCCTTTCCCTTTGACCCAGGAGGATTGATGAAAAAACTGCCCATGCTCCAGAGTCCTTTCCTGTTAGTCCCAGGACTGCCTTATTTGGCTTTAGTGTCTTTTCTGATACAATGGGTGTTTCCAGTCTCTGAGCAGCAGAGTGGTTCTGAGGGGACACCTCAGTCTTTGGGAGGAAATCTCTTCCTGCAGATCCTTGCCATAGCAAGCTTCCATTCTTTTGCATTATTGGCCCCCTCCCTTCCCTGTGTGCTGATGGGAGTTTCTGGCTGTTTGGCTATAGGATGTGGGTCCAGTGTAGTTTGGAAACAGCTGTCTATCTCCTTCTCAGCAGCCCTGATGCCACACATGTTCTCACTGCCTCCTACAGCTCAGCCAGCTGCTGCAGGAGGTTTTCCATCTGGGCAACACCTTTTGCAGGTAGGCCTGCTGCCTGTCCTGCTCAGGAGAAAGGTCTTGACACTGCCTGCAGTCTGAGATCCACTCTGCAGCCTCTCCCTTCTGCAGCTCCACCTAGGCAGAAGTGTCTGCATGGGCAGGGTAGATGGTGCAAATGCCCCAGCCAGAGTTGCAGCCCATGGTGTTCCCACCATGCTGCTTCGAGGCTCAAGTAGGATGCCTTGCAAGACCACACTGCCAGAACTATAGACAGCCCTATATGCCAGGTTCCCTCATGCAGAACCAAGTACACAGTTATGTCATTCCAGCTCAGCCCTGCTTTCTGCTCCTTGCTTCTGACTGGGATCGCTTTGCCTTTATCTTTGCATCTAAGCCCTCACCCAGATGAAGAGAAGGGTGGAATTAAAGCACCAAACAGATAGGCACCACTTACTGAGCCCTTAAAAGATGAGTTTAGTGGTGATTCACTGTATTGGAGCAGTTTAATTTAAACGGAGTCTTTTTTCTAGCAAAGTCGAAGTCAGTTTACAAACTACATGTAGGCATGGAAATAAAATCCAGGTAACTTCAGTCTCATTGAGATGATATATAGGAGAAAGCATGGTGGTACTATAATAGAACACACTTTTTCTACTTGAACACTTCAGGTTGAAATGTAGAACCATCCTTTGAGAATCAAAGCTGCTCCTGTATTAAAATCTAGTGTTAATCAGTGGTAATGTGGAAAACATGATTATCATATTGCTCCTGCTTTATTCCTGCTATTTTGTTTATTTCAGACTTTCCAACTCCTTGCAGTAGAGAGTAAATACTGTCTGTGGATCATGGTTAAGTGGTAGGCTAATGTAGTTACAGTAGCCTTCCTGCAAGTGCCTTTTAGGGCAAGAAATAAAGAAACAGCTAGTTGAAACAAAATCCAGCGTATATCACTTTGATGATGAGCACTAACAGAACAGTAAAGTCATTTTAAAATAGATTAGAATGTCATTTTAAAAGATTTGATTTCTGAAAAGATGAAGCTCAGTAAGGAAAAAGGACTAGCAATCCTAGAATCTTCCTTGGTAAGCCCTGTAAGACCAGTGGAAGAAAACCTCTGTGAGTCTTTGGTAACTCCTTTGAGGACAGTTCCTGCTGTGGTGGGCTGCCCAATGGTGAAGTGCTTATAGTTGAACACATTTCATAACCTGAAACTGAAATGTCATTAAAGGATTTACTTTCTTAAATAAAATTAGGTGAAAATGGTCATCCTGGCAAGCTTCCAAGCCCTTAGGAGTATGTGTGAGAGAGGTGTTGAGGCATAAACACTGACAAATGCTGTGTGATTGATGAGCACCTTAGAGATGTGTGATATACAGGTGTAGCCTTTGAGGACTGGATCTAGCTCCAGCTGAGGGCTTGATTCAGTATGGTGCAGATGCTTTTGGAGAGGATGTTCCTGTAGGAGAGCCAAAAGACTGCTAGAAGTAATATTTAGATTCCCGTGAGGATATTAAGAGGGACTGCACTACTGTGCTTGAGGATGGAGAAATGAAAGATCTTAAAATTTGACTTGGAAATGCGCTGCATGGTACAAGGAACTTCAGTGGGAGAAATCTGATACAGGGACAGATACTCTCATCTCCTAAATATGTATAATGGAGTTCTTTTGCATTTAATTGAGCATTCTATACAACACCTTGAAAATGTTGGTGTTAGTATCTTCTGCTTTTTATGTTTTCTCATTTTTGTGTTGCATTCTGGCTTTGTCTGTGTTTTAGACAGCAAATGAGTCAGGCACGTGCTGGGTGTGCCTGGATTTAGGAGAATCCAGCAAACAAGTATAATTAGAATTTAAGAATTCAGTATTTGTACTATTAAAATGCACATTTTCCCAAGAGTTACGTTATAGCTGGGTTAGATTTCATTTACTGAGGTGAAAACAGTAACTTGTGTTGACCTGGTGTGTGTGCTTTGATCATTTGTATTAATAACCTCTAACCACTTCCTTCCACCCACTCCTATTCTGCTGCTTGTGTAAATTAACCTCTGCTATCACTTCAGGGTAAGGTTGAGATTAGATTCTTTTATGTCTTTTCAAAAGCTGTGCTTAACTTCATGTAGTTACTGCATTAATGTAATCTCAGGTGGGACATTTCCAAATTGTTCAGTTACACTATATTTTTCTGCTATTCCACATGCTGTTCTCTTCACTACCTTCCAAGTAACTCAGTTTCTTTTGATTTTGGTCTGAATGTACTAGGTTGATGTGAGATTTTTTTTTTTTCCTTTAGGGTGTAATGAGCATTTTCTTTAAATATTTTTGTTTGTTTTCAAATGGGCTTCCAGTTTCTCCCTCTTCCAGCTCCATTTGGTTTCTCTGCACTGCTGGCTTTTGTGCCATCAGCTAAAATCATAAATGGCAAACAGCTGGACTGTAAGTGTCAGACACCATCCTAGTTCTGAGTTGCTGCTAAAGTGAAAACAAATTTAGATTTTTTTTTCCACAGTGCTTGGTAGAGTTCCTCTCACTGGTGAAAACTGCTCTTAGTGCCATGGATATATCCCTTAAGGATTGTATCTTAAGGTGTGTTAAGGAACCAGGCTGTTCTGCAAGTATATGGGAGTCTTCTTTCATTTTCAATTTCCCCTCCTTCATGAAAAGTAATTTAAAAATAAATCTTACTCTTAAAGGCAAACAGCATTCATGCCTTGTTATCAGTTATTAGTCAACCGGACTGAGAAACTGTCTATAGAATATTTAGCTTTTGTGCTGCGAATCAGGATTAACAACTTTCTGTGTTTACAAATTAGAACTGTTGATCTATGTTAGTTTGGTCCTTATTGTATCAACTTGGAAATAGTCCATGTTTTCCCTTCTGGAAGTGTTTAAACTGTCAAAATGGTTACCTCACATACAGTTAGAAACCTTTTTGGAAGGAGACCAGAGGTGCAGGTCAGACACAGAAATACTGAGCAGGGCTGGGCTGTGGGAGAGCCTGGAACCCGAGGCAGAGCCATTGCCAGCAGCTGCAAATGCCACAAATGTGTTTTGCCCTGAACAGTGTGGGCTGGGACAGGTACAGCAGAGGCAGATCCGCCCTCTGCTCAGGCTGCTGCACGTGGACTTCCACATGACTGCAGAGAGTAATTGCTGCCTTTCCTCCGAAGATTAGATGATCTGGGAAGCAAAGGTCATTTAGGCTTCTTGTCTGCTATACCTCTAAGGCTCCCTAGGTAGAAAGCATCAGGAGTTCTTGGTTTTGGAGTGGCAGCTTTTTGCAGAAGGTGTGGGAGGGTAACACGTCTTTGCTCTCTTGCAGTCATTTTGCTATTTCCCCCATAATGTGCAAACGTGCAGGGATTTGGGGTTTCCTTTGTTTGCTTCCTGTTTTAATCCAAAATCCAAGCAGCTCACAAGAAATAAGCGTAAAATCTCCCCAAGCATGCAGTGTGGGTGTCTCCTGTGTGACAAGTAACCGCTTTTGGAAGTCCAAAAATAGCCCATGTGCTCTGTGCGTTGGGAGCATTCTTGGAAACACTGCATGGATTCAGTACACAGGGACATGCCAGTCACCAGAGTTCTGTAGCTGTCACCCCACCCTGTGCCTGCTCCCCAAGCCTGTGAGAGCAAGGGTCACAGAAAAATTTTTTGCATCAGAAAGGCAGTAGAAAAAATGAGGATTGACTGGCAAGTTTTATGTGTGGGCTGGTCCCATCTCTAGAGAAAGCACTGGTGTGTTCTTGTCATACCACACACTTACCAAGTGTGTTCTGCAAATATTTCTGTGACCTATAAATAGACAATAAAATTTCTAGGTGTGGATAGCTGACAGATTTTGAGGATTTAGGACATGAACTCACCAGCCTTTATTCATGCTCATAATCCTAATCCATGCAAATTGCACCAAATTAGTGGTTGCTGTTCACTCAGTGAGTCGGGGTAAGGCCTCTGTGCAGGTCCCATGGTGTTCTGAGCACAGCTCCTGGTGCTTGTGTTTCCCTTTTGGATAACTTCTGTGGCAAGCTGCCTAGCTCAGTCATATCATGAAAATAAGTAAATCTAACTTCCCCCATTGCTGAGCCTCTTAGAAATGATGGAAGCTGTGATTCCAAGCGCCTGTCTGGAGGATTTTATAAATCCTTGGGAGTCTAGAGGGAGAAAAATGCTGATGTTAAAGCCCTGGCCCTTTCGTCACTGGGAACAAAAAGACAAAAATTACTTAAAAAAAAAAAGAAAAAAGTGGGAAAAAGAAATTAAACCCACCACGAGCTGGGTTTTGCGTGACCGTGGGAGTTGGCTCCCGAGGCTGTCACTCGTTCGTGTTCCAAGTCCGGCTGTTTCCCGTTTCCGCCGCGAGAGGGCGGCGGCGGCCCGGGGAGCCCGGCGGGTCAGCCCGGCCCGGCGCCGCTTCGCTCCCGCGCCCGTCCCTTCCCTTCCCTTCCCTTCCCTTCCCTTCCCTTCCCTTCCCTTCCCTTCCCTTCCCTTCCCTTCCCGGCCCTTCCCTTCCCGGCCCTTCCCTTCCCGGCCCGTCCCGTCCCTCCCGTCCCGTCCCGTCCCTCCCGGCGGCACCCGGCACGCCGCTCACACCCCTCTCTTGCAGGTCACGTTCCGGACAAGGATCTACCACTGTAACATTAACAGCCAAGGCGTCATCTGCCTGGACATCTTAAAGGACAACTGGAGTCCAGCGTTAACCATTTCTAAAGTTCTCCTCTCCATCTGCTCCCTCCTCACAGACTGTAACCCCGGTAAGTCCACCTGCCGCCTTGAGTTCCTCCCAGCACCTAAATAACGTGGCGCTCCTCATTCCATTGGTATGGCCAGCTCAGCTCATGCCTCCGGTGGAGCGCATTTCCCTCTCCAGGGCAGTCAGAGGTGGTGGAGGGAGATAGACCTTCCCAGCCTGAAAACCTTTTACTTTCCATCATCCATTTAAAACAAGGGGCCAACTATGCCACAAGTGGTCATCACCGCTGCTCTAACCCACCTGATATCCACACAAGTTAAGAGGAATATGTTTTCGCTTCCAAAGTCATTTTACAGGTTGCATTTTTATATGTCTAAAGAGGAGAGAAAGGCCAGATTTCACCGTGTACTAAACTTGTTGTACTAAACCCCTTTTTGAAATTTTATCTTTCCTAGAAGGCAGCTTTACAAGTACACTTAGCATGAGTATCTCAGGCACCCTTGGAAGGAATAAAATAAACCTGAAATGCATGAATTGGTGAAAGCCCTCAGTAATGCAAAATATGATTGATTGTTGTGTCTTAAACTTCTTAAAACTTTATTGGCATTTCACACTATTAAATTACAGATTAGTACATCGCCATAAATGCACAAAATCAGAGAAGACACAGATTATCAATTCAGTATGTTTAGACTGTTACAGTGTACCTTACCCATGTGTTTGCCTTGTATGAAATTCACATTTCATCTTTATTTAAAAGCTTTTATTGGGTAACTTGTCTGAAATAAGCGGTGTGTTTCCTTTTCAGCTGACCCCCTGGTTGGAAGCATTGCCACTCAGTATATGACTAACAGAGCAGAGCATGACAGAATGGCCAGACAATGGACCAAAAGATACGCTACATAAATTGGATTTTCATCAAACTCTTACATTATTTGTCTGTGATGGAAAGAGCTGCTTATGATTTTGAAGGGGTGGGGGGTGGGAGGGTGCTGGTAAAGAGTAGGGTATTTCTATAACAGATTTTATTCAGTCTTTTATTTCCTAAGATTTTGTTGTTGTAACTTAAGGTATCTTGCTACAGTAGACGGCTAGGATTTGGAATAGCATACTTTAAGACTGTAATTAGTTCAGCAATATTAGCTCACATATAGTACCGAGAAGAATGTAAACTTCTTAGACTTCTTTGGTTTTCAGTTTGCTTGCAATATGTAAAAGATTAAAACAGCTTAATTTTGTACAGGTACATAGGTTGACATTTATGTAAAAGTCCTTTCAAGACTCTACACACTGTTTTCACTTTTTGTTTGGGTTTGAGGGATTTATTTTGTTCTAGGTTGGGTTTTTTTTTGTTTTGTTTTTTTTTGGTTTTGTTTTGTTTTTTGTTTTTTTTTGTAAAAAGATGTTTGGATTGTTTTTCCCTATGGAGGGCACATTGGTATTTAACAAATCCTTTTTAAAGACTGTCATCTCATGATCTGTGATATGGAGAGGTGGATATATGGCCTCATATATGAAATGAGAAGTAGTTAATGTATTATTTTATAAGCCAATCTATCTTTGTGAAAATAATAAAGGGTTTAATCAGGACTTATGGTAACCTGTAGTGAAATACCTTAAGCTGTTAACTGTAAGGTGTGGAATAGGAGTCACTCAGTGGATTGGTTGTATGTTGTGGGCTACTTAAGTCTGCATTTGTTACTGTGCTAAAAAAAAAAATTTTTAAAAAAAAAAAAAAAAAAGTGAAGAAGAAAAGATTTCTGCTTAGTCCCTTGCTTTGTCATTTTCCCAGAATGGTGTCTCTGTATGCTTTAGAGGATTTATGCTGTGGTTAAGGACAAGGGAGATCTGCACAGGCTGCTGCTGTTTTAGGAAGACAATTCTAGACAAACATACAATGAATGTCAGCATAAGACCTTCACAACTGTTCATTAAGTGTTGTGCAGGGACCTGGCCGTGAGGAGGTAACTTGCCACAGCATCCACGATGGTTACTTTTTAGCTTAAGTTTTCACAGCCTTGCCTCTGCAGGACTGGCATGTTTGAAAGTACTAGAAAAGTATAAGCCATCTGGAAGGGAAAGAGACAGTAAGTAAAAGGAAGAAAATAATGTCTTGATGCTTTTCTGGTGGAGTAGTCTATTCACACTTGGAAGAGAAGGAATCGTGTCCTGGTAAGGTAGCAGACAACACCGTAAAGGAGTATCTGTACATCCTTTAACTACCTGTAAAGATTATCTCCTAGAGACATAGTGTTTGCATTGAGGTGTGTAGCAACAGGGCAGTTAATTGTGGATATGGCATTTCTGACCACTCCCTTAAGGTAAAGGCCGGAAGCACAGATTCATTTTTCACGGTGAGTGCTTCACCTTGCAACATTCTTGTGAGTGCTGGGTGGTCACCTGCACTCTCAGACTTGGACTGGTACTTTAAAATAAATTCTGGATGTATTTCATTTACATACTTCTCTTCCTATCTAGATACAGAGCAAATCTAACTTAGTTCAAAGTAATCTGTTAATTAGAGGTGTCCTTTTCTTCGCTAGGTGGGTAGTAGCACCGTACCCTCATCGGCTGAACTGCCAACATGTGACACAGTGCATGTTTGGTGTATGAGCTCCCTCAGCTGTTTACCTGTTTGGTGCATAGCTACATCACACTAAGAGCACCTCTGGTAATCTTTCTTTCTCCTCTACTGAGTAAAGAGATAAATGGCTTAATCTCAGTAGTTTTTTTGCCAGCTTCTTGCTTTATGCCACCAGGACATGTCAGATAAACTGTTGTAATTGGTGGGGGTGACTGATTTGTACAGTGTTTATTCAGCAGGGTAGAGGCAGAGAAAGATGGTTTAGTTTACTAATTTGTTTTTCTTCTTTATAGTATTTTTTCTCCATTATCTTGTGAAGGGACTCTGGTTTTGCAGAAGGTAAGTGATCCCAGTGACCTAGAACAGGGTTTGAGTCAGTGGAACAGGAAGAACAAAATAGATATTCTGCCCATTAGCTGCTATGTTATACTCTGTACTTTGCTTATTTACCCTGTGTAAAACTCTACTACAGCAAGTTTCATTTTTACTCAGTACCAACCACCATGTGCATATCATTTGCAGAGGAGACACTAGATTTTGCATCACTTCTCAGAAAACACTGTGATATTTAGAAAAACATCATAATAAGTTTATGAAAGAAAACAGTGGGTGGTGATTTTTTTTATATGAATGCCTCAAATTATCTAAACTCTAAATTTAGCCAAATCAAAGAAAATGTGTTTGCCTTTATGTAGCCTATTTGGAAAAATGGCCTTAGTCATTTAGAAGATACTGTTTCTTTTGCCTGTCTTAAAACACTGTCAAGTCCTAGGAGTCCAGTGGAGCGAGTGAGCAAGCTACACTTGCACTGCACAGCTCTGGCAGCCTACAGGTGACATCAGTCTTGGCAGAAGAATTGGCACCAAGTGTGCAGCACGCAGAGCTGGACAGGAACTAGTCATCCTCATTCTTTCCATCTCCAGGCATTTTAAGTTAATTCTGACTTGTCAACCTGCACTCCCTTGGCTCAAGGGTAGGTTTAGTACTGTGCTGTTAGTAGACATCTTCACTTATTTTGATTGATCCAAGGATGATGCAAGTCCCTTCCAGAAGGGTTCTGCAGACTGAAGAAGAGGAACATAACTCATTCCTTGGTAAGAGGTTGCAGTGAGGAGGTGAACCACTGCTGCTCAGAAGTGAAGCAGCATGGAGACAGGGAGAGTCTTCAGGGTAGGGAGAAGCCTGGAGTACACGTGTGTTCAGTAGGAAATGAGTGAGGAGGGAGTGTCGTCCTGCAGCATGGCTGGGGACAATGACTCTTACTGGCCAGGTGTGGGGAAGTGCTATTGTGCTTACTCAGCTGCAGTGTGGAAACAATTGTATGTTCCTAGCAGGGCATTACAAGAGCTTGCTCATTCATAATTGCTCTCTTATCTTACTCCTTGGCCACAGCAATTCAAACTATATTGAGCAAAGCACATAAACAGTTTCGTCTACCTGCATTATAATGGTAGGGATTCCTGTTTAATTTTTAGTGAAATGTACTGCTGCTCTGACATTAATAATGTTGACAGACTTTAGTAATGCTGACAGGCTTTATTAATCAGTATTCAAGAAGAGCAATACAATGAGCTTAATTTTGATCATTAAGCACACTATTTAGCAGTTATGCTATGACAGTGCAAATATTGCTTGTGGTTTTGCTGATTCACAGTGAAATTCTCAGTATTTGTTCAAAAGAGGATTAATTTAGTGAAAAATGCAGAAACTGGGTACTTCACTCCCTCTTCCTGCTCTTGCCTTCAAATATAAAGAAAAGCTAGCATCAATTAGTACCGGAGGTTGTTAGATAACAAAAACTGGCCCATCTCTTTGAAAAGTTGCTCATTCTGTTGCTCTATATATCTATCCCCTTTTGTCCAGTTTACTGCCAGGCTGGCCTGGGACAGCAGATTCCTGCAGCACACAGGTTTGCCAGTGTTGAGTCAAACACTGCACATGCAGTTGTGCTCCTGCAGCCACACCATGTGCAGCACATTAAGACCGGGGCCATTTGTACAGGTATTTCTGGGTGTTTGCCCAGGGATATCTCCAAAAAAGCAGCCTCCAACCCTCCTTAGCCCCAACCTGCAGAGTCATACACCACTTTGTACCAGCTGCTAGCTGGCCTAGGGAGATTGGATTGCTGCAGCTTGCCTGAGCAGCCAGGTAAGCGTGTCCTAAGCAGAGCCCAACAATGCCTCCTGCATACAAAATCGATCCATATAATTCTCAGTAAAATTACCACCTATGGGAATGTGACTGATTTGTAGTGTACATGCTGGAACAAACCCACAGTTATGCTGTCCTTAGGTTGTTGTTCAATCAATGAGTGCTCTGAGAGCTGTTCTGGTTTCTACAAATTAATTCCTGCCCTGAAAGCACTGCTTACTAGACTTTGTTGACAAGGTTCATGATGGGGTATTTCCCAGAAGATGTGGGGGGTGGGTTTTTTATGATTTTGTTGGGTTTTTTTTTTCTTCCAGACACTAGCAAAACATAGGTGGCTAAATCTGGTAATTGTTCCTCCTGCTCCATATCCTTCTCCTACAGCAAGACACTGATCTCAGCCTCTTGCAGCATCAAAAAGCCCTGTGGCCCTGTTTAAGGTCAGGGTAAAAGAGCTGTTGCCATTTCAAATATATCACTTTTCCAAATTGAATGCTTTATTGCAGCTAATACTTTTTGTGACTACAGGCTATAGATCTGCAGGGGGATTATATACTGGTAAGCTTGTTGATTTGTCCCTCAACATGGCTCTATCCAGGTATAGTAAAAGCCTCTGCTAGAGAGGTATCCATCTATCCCTTCCTCCTCCATAACCCTGGCTGCAAAATAATGGCTCTTATAAAGTGCTTTTTGAGACTTTTACCACCAGCAGCTTTTCCAAGCCAAGTCTATGAGAAGGAAGGATACCTCTTAGCTATAAGCTTGCTGATTTTATTGCTGAATGATATTATTGCTTTAAGTGAAACTGCGAGGAGCAAATGGCACAAAAAGGACTTAGACTGTGACCTGGCAGCAGGAGACAATGCTAAGCTAGTCTAGTTTTCACAGTTATTCCCTTTGCTCTTCCTTCCAGGTAAGGGAAATGTTGATTTGTTCTGGGACTGGGACAGTTTGCTAGCTAAGAAGGTGAAGGGTTCAAGTAGTGTTTTCCGATCTGTCACAGTCACTTCCCACAGTCTCACTTTCTCGGCCCTTGCCCATTGCTGTGCTGCTTCTGTTTCCACTTGCCTTTGGTCCAGGAGGTCAGTTTTGTTTCCCAAGACAATAACTGCAACCTACAAACCAAACAAGAGGGTGAGCTTTATACCAAAACTATCCACCAGTCACCATCCTTTTAAACAGTGAGCAAGGAGCAACACAGTTCAGTCTTGTTCTGTAACTTAGCACTGGCACAAGGTAAGTTGCACATAGATTGGGTCTGGGATTTGAATTAGATTTATCTACTTATGGGTTGGAAGCTTGTTTTAATCATAGGATATGCAGGACTTCCCCTTCTCGCCACCCCACTCCCCTCCCTCTATGATTGCTTGAAGGGAAATAATAGCCAAGAGATCCAAAGTTAAACAACACTATTCTCCACTTACTTGGCAATTGAGCTGCCCTAGACAAATGATAAGAGCATGACATCTGAGTAGGTCACAGCAGCAGATGCTCAAGAGATGAAAAAATGCATAGCAGCAGAGAAAGCCTGGATCCCACACTGGTGGATTTTGCCCTGTTTGTTTCTTTCCCAAGCCCCATCCTCCAGTATAAAGGCAACCGTGCCAGCAGTCAGGCAGGCTGGGCTATGGGGCCCCTCTCCCAGCTCAGCCCTGCTGGCTGCCCAGCCCCAGGCACCAACAACCACCCAAAGGGCTGAAGGGAGCAGTCTGCTGAGAGGGGCAAATAAGCACCAGCAGCATCTTCGGGGGAGCAGTTTCAAGAGCAGCACAGCTGTATCAACTCAGATCTGCAGTTGTAAGGATCCATGTTGTGACTTGTTTCACTATTGCCCAGACAGTCCAGCGTGGCTCAGCTTGGTAGGTACATGAAGCCTTCCCAGTGCTTCAGCTCTAGGAAGTGGCAAAGGCAGTGCTGGCTACGTGAAGCAACTGCTCCTCCTTGTTTTAAGTTAGTTCAAGGTCATTTTTAGTTCAAGGTCCTTAGTCAAACTCTGTTTTCATCTCTATACTAGTGGTTTGACAAAGATCAAGTGATAAAGTCCTCTCTTGATGATGATTTGTGGGGTTTGGTGTGGCCACACCTGCTTGCTCTTTCCTGTTCATCAGGCTAACTCCAGAATGCCTTATGCTTCTTTCCAGCTAGAGATGTTTGTCCTGTTCCTCTGAGGTCTGAGACTTCCTTTCTTTTCTATAGCAGTCCAGGGTGTTCGGAAAAATGCTGCTTAGGGTTTTTTTTCCCCCTCTGTGAGGGCTTTGAAAGAAGCTATAATCTTCATGTGTATCTACCGCATGCTCCAGCTGAATTTTTGCTATGGCAAAGCTCTGTCAGTATAACAGAACAAAACCTCTATTTAGTATAAAATTTGGCCAGGCTTTAAGGTGTGTGCTGGAGAGCCCCCACAGCCAGCAGAGGCAAGGAACCAGCCATCAGTGCTTTCTGTCATCTGCCACGCAACAGGGGACTGTGCCACTCAACGAGTTGAAGTTCTGCCAGCTCAGAAGCACCATGTGTGTAGATATATCCCTATTCAGTAAAGAATTTATTCTAGTAGAATCTAGACTTTAAGTCACAGAATCGTTAATCTGCTGATTTGCCTTAAGGTGGGACTCCTGATCTCACCTTGTACACCTTAAAGCCTATTTTTTATCATAGGAATGAAAACTATTTTATCCATCTTACTGTGGCCACCACTTTTTTAACCATGTTATCCTCAGTCAGAATCACAATTTTGAGCTCTCCAAAAGGATAAACAAATTGGCTGTTTTCTAAAATACCTGCATGCAATGAGAGAGAAGAGTTTTGACAGGTAACACAGATGAGCAGGACACAGATCCTGTTGGGGCTGTGACACCCTCTCTGCATTGCAACATGCTGTATAGTACCAAATCAGGGCCATCGCAAAACACAGTGCCTGGGAAAAATTTCCTGCTTGTCCACCTTTCCTTGCCCTGCAGGGGAGTTATGCTTGACTCTTGTATTCCTGATATACGTGACAGTCTGCAGCTCACACCAGCCCTACCACCTAACATACCTCTCCTGTGACTGCACATTCATCTGCCGTCAAACTTGAGCCTGCCTTCTTCTACCACCCTGTGTGCTGTCAGTACAAAACAAGTTACATTTTTGTAAAGTCTCTCCCTACCATTATCCAATTAATTCTTCATGCTTTTTTTTTTTCTTTTAAACAGCATAAAACAGGCATTTGGAAAGCTGTAGGCTAAAGACATTTAACAGGGAAAACTACTCCAGAATATAGATACTGTAGGAAAAGCCATAATGCTAATGCCACATGCAAGTTATATTTGTTTAGCTAAGCTGGAACGCTGTCAGCTGAAAACACTAGCTGCTTTCTAAGGGAAAATAGAGCAGTCATTTCACACAATTGAATTGATTCAATATGGTTGTTAAGATACATTAAAGCTGCTTTGCCAATTGAGTAATGTCTGAGAGACCCATTGTCAATTACACTAGTTTGTAAGCCATCAAGTACATGAATACAAAACAAAGATAATGCCCTTCGTTACATTATTCTATGCACTTGACTTCCCCTGTACAATATCTAAAAAAACATGAGCTGCACTGTGTAGACCATATGTTTTATTAGTCATAAGTGTCCTGGCTGGTGCACTCAGCTGACTGAATTTTAGCTGTAGTAGAGGAAATAAGGAGGGAAAAAAAACATTCTTTTGCACAACCTGCATGGCATGTGAATTAAGCTCCCTGGCATGTAAAGGCCTCCTTTTTGCCGGGTTGCCCAAGGCTGTGGGTACATTCATTTTCCTTTATAAACAATGTTTACAGAAACAAAAGTTGAGCTTTGCAACCTCAACTTCCTATCACTGATACAGCATTTAGCCAAGCATGCATTTACCTCCTTTTTGTCCCTGAAGACATCAATCTCCTTTTTGAGCAGTTCGACTCTTTGGAATGCTTCGAGGCTGGTCACGGCATACACCAGGACGAAGCCGTCGGCCACGGAGAAATAGTGCTTGGGCAATTCCACACCCTCCTGCAGACCCCTGGTGTCATAAAGCCGTAACTGTTCCTTCACGCCTCGGTCTGTCTCCACTGATGCCAAATACACATCTTCCATTGTGGCACCCTCTTCTAAGCCTGTTTGAAAACAAACAGGAATGTCCCACTGCTCTAAGTACAGCCTCAATATAAGAATTCTTTGCAGTGCAGCAGAATTTTGCCCCACAGTAGCTTTCTGTGTGTGTTTTACAGAGTGACTTGACCAGGCCTTGACTTTGCCTGGCATCTCCATGGAGGGCTGCATTCTTAGATGACTGCACTAGCTATTTCCAATAGTGACACTGTAAATATATTAATACATAAGCACATGATTATGCCTGTAAAAATAATCTATGCAACATGCACATTCAGAATAGGATAAGATATATGCTCTCCTCCCAAGTTTTCCAAACTCCAACCACCCAGTTGTACCAGTTCTGTGCCAAACATGCCGCAAAACGAGCCTGCCCAAACGTACCCTTTTGGAACAACAGCCAGGGAACACCAGATAGTCAGGTACTAAATCTTAAGCCTACTTCTTTGCCTCATAATGAGCTGGATCATACTGCAAAAGCAGGAGCCAAATTCTGGAAATGAATGTGTTAGCGGTATAACTAACCAATACGTGAAATTAAGCCAGAAAGGGAAGGGGATGTTTGCAGGCAAAGTTGCATACGATATTTACTCAAATACACAGTGAGCTTTTTCCATCCCGTAGGGATTTTAAAATTACTCAGATTTGTTAATAGAAACAAGTTCATTTACTGCAAGGCAAGAGCATGTACAAGGTAACAAGGTTTCATATATATATCACCTGTTCCACCCTGACTATCAGCATACTGGCCCTCTTTCCCTCCTCCTCTCCACACAGTAAATGTGAGGTAATTCAAGGCAGCTTGCTTTGAACTAATTAATTTTTTCTTTTCCTAAGCCAAACCTGAAAACACATCAATCACCTTAGCTTTCTGTTCCTCCTGGATGCAGGTGCATAAGGGTACAGGTCGAAACAATCTATGTATAATGTATCTGGGCCACTTTCAGAGTTGGTTTTAAGTATTCATACAAGCCCTCTACAACCCACATTTTTGCCTCCACTGCACTCCTATATACAATTGTTTGCTGCTGCATGACTACAATAATGAGTCCTGCTTTATTCTCTTTGTCTGCCAAAAAGGGACCATTTTAGTGTATTGTTTAAGACAACACAAGGGATTATCTGGCCTCTGAAAATAAGGATTTTGCTATATTCAATGACACTATTCAAAACACTTCACATTGACAAACAAGCTAAAGCATTCCACCCACGCTGATGGTTTCCCGTGATGTATGCAGCATTCCTGTGCAGGAAAGTGGCACAAGCTGTTCTTTTTGCCCCTCTCTGTGCAGTCTTCATAGATCAAACTCTCATTAGGTTTCCAAAGATTTAATTTATGTCGCCTCCAAATATAGCCACACTAATGTGTGGGAGCAAAACTAAGGACAAAGCAAAGGTTAATGAAAAGAGGAAGCACAAATGCATCCTGTGTGATTGTAGAATGTGTTAAAGGGTCACTTTTAAAGATTGAGGTAGGAACAAAGCCCTTTCTGGATATAGCAGTGTTGTTTAGACACAGCACTATATTCTTGCTCTGCCTTGCTGCATTGTACAGACAGGTCAAGGAAATATCTAGCATCGGTAAACACAGCTTTGGCAAGAAGGAGCCATAAGTATCTAAGTTTTCTTTTTAAAATGCAACAAATTGTACAGTTTTTCATCCTCTAAATGCTACACTGTAATCCAACAACCTCTAATATATCCTTGTTATCCTGGGACAATCTCTTCCTAATGGCATTAAAAGCAGCAGTGAAAAGTATGTCTTTTAACATCCTATTTTAAAATGAAGCAAAAAAATTAAGACCCAGGACTTAATTTAGCAGAATAGAGCAGCAAATATTGATGTGAAATGGGGGGGGCACTTAGGAGGGAGTTAAAATTTATGCACAAGTATCAGATTCCAGAGATGAAATTTCACCTACAAGCACTGGGGGAGGGAGTATATACAAGTAGTTTCCTAAGCAAACATAGATAATTTTTAGAAATACCTGTGTCACCTTATTCTAGGCCCTGCTCCTAAAGCCCAGACAATGTACCAGCCACATCTTGCTGACAATGATGTTTACACTTCTTGTTAGTAGCGTCCCATTCAAACACTTCCTAGGTCTGCATTCAAAATGGGTCGGGAAGTTGTTGTAAGAAAAGCAACACTAGTCAGTGTCCTAGAAAGGTGCTGGCACCATCCCATCCTCCCTGCCACAAAGATCCCGATTCTCTTTCCTGTCACTGGCATCCTCAGGCATCTTTCCTCCACCTCTACCTGGGTGGGCAAGGGCAGCTTGTGCTGGAAAGTTACTGTCCTGCAGACTGCTGCCAGCTTGACTGGTTTTTCTGTGGAGCAGAGCACTACAGTGGGCCAGCTTTCAGGTTCAGAAGTCGAAGGGGTGAAGGGGAACTAAGAACATAGTGCACAATGTCACGCTTCCTTTTAAAACTAAAGATATAAAAAATTGGGAGTGGGAAAAGAGGAATAGACAGAAGTGATGCCACTCTCTAGTACCTACTTAGCCGGTGTAAATCTTAGGAGAGGCAGAAAGGTTTTTATTTTTTACCGACTGCTGCCACAGAGGAACTGCAACGGGAAGCCTTGGTCATAAATTGGGTGTTGTTCCAACCCCTTGTGGCTTCCCAATGAGGAAAAGAAAAAGCTCAATATACTAATGAATACTGAACATTCAGGGTAGGCTCAGCAGATACACTGCAAATACCTAAGTAAATCAAAATTTCAAGAAGGATGGAATTTCAGAAGATCCCAGCTGGATCTTGAAAATTAATGCAGTATAAATTTCATGTCTTCTTGGGTACTTTTGAAGATCTCTTTTGTAATCTCCTTCTCTTTTTCCAGAGGAATTCAGCAAAGAGCTCCTGAAACCTGCTATTCCTTATGTTTCTAAGCTGCAGAATAACAGGCTTTTCTTATTTAGATTTCAAAAGACTGTGTATCAGAGGATCCCTGACTTGGGAAAAAGCTGGACAAACCTCAAGAGGAGCTGATCTGTTTAGATTTAGCTGCTAGGGAAGTACTAGTCCCACCAACAAATAGCTAGGTTGTGAGACTCAGTTACACACATTCAGTTCCATTTTCATCTATTTCTAAAATGCAAAGCTGACTGCAACTCTATCACCAGGTAGCTTTAATTTAAAAAATGAAGATGGAAAACGGTCTCTGCCCATGGCAAGAGGCTTGGAAGGAGATGATCTTTAAGGTCCCTTCCAACACAAACCATTCTATGATTCTATGAATGCATAATTAGGTTAATTGGCCTCCACATCCAAAGTGAACAAGCCAAAACCCCAAATCCCTCCAGCTGGAACAAGTGAGGCAATTTCTCTCATTATGGCTTCTACCACAGTAATATATGGTGTTTTCATTCCTAGCTAGTAAGAGGATCTGAAGTAACTGCTTATGAATAACGTGACCATACCAGCTATTTACACAGCCAGGAGGCAGAGTTAAGTTTTCTACAAGGGAGAGTCCTCATCTTCTGCTTTTGAACTGATAAGCTTTAGTATAGGCTGAGAGGCCAGAAATATTTTAAAGGCAGAAGAAAGATTCCTTTCTGCACCATCACTGAACAGGAACACTGTTTAAGGAAAAGTACTCCTTTATGTTTTTTACAGACATGTCCTGTGCCAAAGCTCAGCTGGCTAGCCAGGTCAAAAGAGGTCAGGCCAAGGAGTGCCAGGTACCACAGGTACTTAGTGGGACAATCTCCTGCTGCCAGGCTAGGACCCTTTTCATAACTCAGGAGAGAAGACTGGCTCCTCTTTCTTCAGGACAGCAAGGTGGAGGATTTGGATGAACACAACATTTAAGTCACAAAACGAGAGATCATCCCAGGTACCAGGCAATCACCAAATCAGAGACTAGTTAAGGCTGAAAAACATTTCCAAGATCATCAAGTCAAACTGCTCAATCAGCACTGCCAAGCCCACCACTCAACCACATCCCCAAGTGCCGTATCTACGCAGTTTTTGAAAACTTCCAGGAATGGTGATTCCACCACTTCCATGGGCAGCCTGCTCCAATGTCTGAACACCCTTTCCCTAATTTTTCCTAATATCCTATCTAAACCTGCCCTGGCACAACTTGAGGTCATTTCCTCTTGTCCTGATGTTTGTTACTTGGGAGAAGAGACTGACCCCCATCTGGCTACACCTCCCTGTCAGATATCTGCAGAGAGTGATAAGGTCCCCCTTTGGAGCCTCCTTTTCTCTGGGCTGAACAAACCCAGCTCTTTCAGCTGCTCCTCATCACAGCAGTGCACCAGACCCTTCCCTTCACCAACTTTATTGACATTCTCTGGACCCACTCCAGCCCCACAATGTCTTTCTTGTAGAGAGGAGCCCAAAACTGAACAGAGAATTCAAGGTGCTGCCTCATCAGTGGTGAGCACAGGGGGATGTTCACTGCCCTGGCCCTGCTGGTCACACCATTTCTGATACAGGCCAGGCTGCCATCAGCCTTCTTGACCAGCTGGCACACTGCTGTACCTGCATATGTACCACAGACACAGGTGCAATCCTTAGCAACTATTTGCCCTGACCCATGGTGATATAGTCCCTACATGACTCAATGTTAAATCTGCACCCATTTCAAACATTTCCTTTTGTTTTGTTTTTTTCTAATTCCTTGTATTAGTTTGGCAAGAGTGTCTGCCTTGCAATAGCTACATTATTTCACGTGGCTCTGAGAGCATCTCTCATCTATTTGTCCTCTCCTTTCCAATCTTGGGACACAAGGCAAACTCCTTTGCAGTTTAAAGCCTAGAACAAAATCCAATACCAGACATCATTTATCACATGCTACACAGACACAGATAGTCCCTTTTTGGGGTATTCCTCCTTCCTGGGTACTTTTTCCTCTTTGACATCAAGCAATCTTAGTGCCTTTGCAAGAGTGTAGCTGCTGACCATGTAACAGTGGCACTTAGGGACTTTATCCATGACAAACCAGGGAGACCTGAAGGTGCATGTTTTTCTAGGAAAAGAAACAGTGCAACTGGGTTTACAGCATCATCACCAAGCACACAGCCAGGAGCACAGGCTCAAAGCCAAGGGCTTTACATAGCAGCATGAAACCTCCAAGGACTCTAATCATTTCCCTGACACCAGCTGTGCCACCACTCCTTTTTACAGGAAACAGGAGACACGTGAGCACTGACAGACTCACGGCTGATTTACAACCAGGAGGAGACCCTCATGACAGTGGCTGCGACACCTCAGAGAACGGCAGCAGACCTTGTGCTCTGAGCCTCCAACCAAGTTCTAGTGTGCCTCTTGTCACTGAGAGGAGGATGTGCCTGCCATCAGAACGGAAAGACTCTCTGTGTTGGCTCGGCCATCCTCCCCACCTTGGAGCTGCTCCTGACGTCAGTCAGGAAGCACAGGTTTTGAAACAGCTTGTGTCCATGTTGCCATGCCTGGTGAGCTGCCTTGCTGGTTGGCTCTGAACAGACAGGCTTTCAGCAAACACACTACTCCCTTCTTGCCTCCGGCCAAAAAGGCCAACAGCCAAGATGTACATGTCTGCTTTCTGGAGACATTCCTAAAGTTTCTCACAAACTTCAGGAAGCAAGGATCAGGAACCTGTAATCATGTTTCAGGTGTGGAAGGGCCACCCCTGCAATGGTAGCACTATTGTGCAGTTTAAAGCAGCTCAGCTAAGGAGCAGTCAAAGGCGTGCCATTCCTCAAACTCTGTCCTTGTGTAGTGAGATCCTCACAATGGCATTCAGAAGTTAAATCAATACAGAGTAGAACAGCAGCTGAAGGTCTTCTGAGAACCACTTCCACCCATACTCCAGGCAACCCCTGCCACAACTGCCTATGTGCTGAGGAAGGGGCAGGGAGGATGGTGACCACTCAGCAGGACTGCCAAAAGCACCAGCTTATTGGTCTGTGCCCTCAAATGTGCCTGGTGGCCTGTGTGGGGGATATCAAAATTCCTGGGCCATGGCCACTCTTCTCTTGGGGGTGCAGCAGCTCCGTAATGACCCTTTCCATATCTTGATCTTGTCTCTACTACTTGGCCTATTTCTCTGAATGTCTTAGGAATATGATTTGACAAAATCACAGAAAACAGGAAACTACCTTTTCCCCTTGCACTCCCCCTCTGCTATCAGCTGTTCCTTCCCTTACTAGTAACTCCAAAAAATAAGAGCAGAGCTGCAGGCAAGGAAAAATGATCTTTTTAAGTGCAGGGGGGGCGGCGGGGGGGGAGGTCTACGTTGCTCAATGGCCAAGTTGCAGCAGGACATTTGGGAGTGACAGAGGGACACCCACGGCTAAACCCCAGGCACGAGGCCTCCCTCAGGTTATGTCAGCCAGTGTCCATGACGTTGTATAATCATGTACATGGCTGGCTCCATAAATAGCTCTTCTGATCAGCAACACCCAAATATCCTTCCTGCCGGGGTTGCTAATAGGAGGCAGGAATTAATGCAAGGCAATACGATTTAAGTAACGTGGCCTTGCTCATGCTGCTCGGGTGTCTCTGACAGTCACCCAGCCTGGCACAGGGGAGAGGCAGGTCGGTAGCAAAGTGAAAAATCTTCAGCCTGCACAGCTTTGCAACCTTCACGTTGAAAGCTACACAGGGCTACGTGCCTTGTGCTCAGTAGGATGCTGGAAACAGATGTTGCTGCAACATTAGAGGAAATCCTCCTTTTAAACACGGGTATTAGCACACAGTTCTGCATCAGGCTTTGCCAGCAAATTCCTCCCATCCACACATTTTAAAGGTGCAATGCTGCAAAGCACCATGCTAGAAATCCTTCTGTTTATTTAAAAACTTATCCCAGCGTCTAATTTACTGGCTCAAGAAAAAAATGCCAAGTGACTAAACATCTTCTGTCAAAGCCCTGGTGCCACCCCTCGTTTCTAGGTGAGGCAGGAACAATTTGTCAGCCTGATGATCATTGCCCTTCCTTTCAAAGCCAAATGTGGAAACAGAGGGAAACGTGCAGGCTCTGCCTTTGTTCCCTTTTTGTGCACAGCAAATATCAGGCATCCCCTGTTCCTCTGTCAAGTCTGTTTTCCTCGTGGGGATTTCTTAAAGAGCAAAGACACTTGGCCTTAGAAATTCAGCATAGAATGCGGAACCTAAAGCTGAGCAGTTTTTCTTTCCAGAGCTTTGATTAAATGTTAGCCAAAACCAAGCAAAATAAAGCTTTAAGAAGATGAAACAAAAGTCTAAACAGTGTCTACCCTCATCATGTGACAGCTATTTATTTTCCAGGCGTCTACAGCATCTTTCAGGGAACAAGATATTTCTTTTGTAAATACGCAGCAGGCACATCACCTACTTTCAGTCTTTGTTTCTTTTTAAACATTCTTGTGTTTTATTACTGGGAACATCATGGAACAGGTTCTTCTCCAAGACTTTTAAAAATCCATAAGCAAGGAACTATGAATTTTAAGAACAGCCCAGAGATGCCACAAAATCATATTAATTTCCTCCTTCACCTCAGCGCAGTTCGCAGTCCTCCATTACTGGTGTTCTGGGGCCCACACTGAACAAGATGCTAGAAAAGGAAACAACCTCCCCCCAGAAGTAAAAATGTCTCACCGACAGTATGCTTTCCATAGAGAAGCTGCTCCAAAATCGCAGTCTTTCCCACTGAGGCCATTCCACAAACCACCACCTTGTAGCCCTTTCCCATGCTTCCCGAGGGCCGGTTCCACGGCGGAGCCCTGTGCAGACAGGGGAGGCTGTGAGCCCAGCACAGGGATGGGCACGGGCGGGAGCCGAGCCCACAGAAGGCGCAAGGCGAAGCAGCGGGGGCACAGCTCCCTCCCAGCGCTTGCCAGCGACTGATATTTTTAGGACTAGAGTTTCCTCCCACACCATTTTTTCAGGTTTTAGGCTGCTGCCAGTGGTGCTGGTGCTTGCCTCGACACTTGTCCTGTCAGGTTTGGGGAGACTGGGAGCGCTGGAGCATGCACACCCCTGGGGCAGGGGCCGTGTGTGCTGGCGTGTGTGTGCACGGCGTTATCGGGCTTCCTGGGTTTGCACTGGGTTTGATGGTCTCTCATGGTACCAGGATGGACCAGAAGCTACAAAGCAGGAGCATTAAAGGCAGAAGCACAGGAAAGCAAATGCAGAAAGCAGGTTTTTTGGTCTGCTTTAAAACAGTTTGATGGATGTGTGTTGGTTCTAGCAGGAGGCATCCAGCAGCTAGGGGCACTTCCAGTGAGCACTTCCATGGGCATGCCAGTGAGCCATGCAGGGAAGCAGGCCCTGACTCAGTTTGCTGTTTGGAGCCATTTCCCACAAAGAGGGCTGAAGAGTACCTTTTCTAGACCAGGAGAGGCTGGCGTTGTCCTGCTTCAATTCCCGTTCAACCAGGTAATGCTTCACAAACCAGGGTGCTCTGAAAAGCATACACTGAAGAACAGAAAGGTCATCCTGCAGCCGCAGGCAGGGAGGCAGAAAGGACTTGCAGGCTGGGAAAGCCTAACTCATAGAATCATAGAATGGCTTGGGTTGGGAGGAAGTTAAAGATCCTCTCCTTCCAGCCCCCTGCCATGGGTAGGGATGCCACCAATGAGACCAGATCGCTCAATGCTCTATCCAACCTGTGCTGTGCCACATGCAGGAGGGAGCGGGGCAAGGATAGGAGTAGGTCAGCGGGTAAAGCCAGGGACTGCAGAACCAGGGAGTCCATGGTGCCCTCTCCATACCCTCCACTGAAAATGCTTTAGGATTGGTTTTAGGGTTAGTTGTGTTTTGTTTTGTTTTGTTTTGTTTTCCTTAGCATTCATTATTTAGAATAGAATAGAATCATTAGGTTGGAAGAGACCTTTTACACCATCCAGTCCAAACATCAACCCAGACCACATCATCCAGCATTAGATCCAGATGCCTCTAAAACCCCTCCAGGGATGGTGACTCCACAACCTCCCTGGACAACCTATTCCAATGCCTCACTGTCCTAACAGTGTTAGATTTTCTCCTAATACCTAATCTGAGTCTCCCCTGTCTCAGCTGAAGGCCGCTGGTCCTCTCACTGCAGTCACAGTGAAGAGACCGGCCCCCAGTCCACTACACTCTCCTTTCAGGGAGCTGCAGAGAGGGATGACGCTCCCCCCGAGCCTCCTCCTCTCGAAACTAAACAAACCCAGCTCCCTCTCTTACGATTTTTAAAATAGTTACTATTCTAGAGATATTTTTTAAGGCTGCTTTTCAGGGTTTTAAGCAAAGTCCCCCCCCAGTCCCTGCCCCGGGGGCTGGGCAGAGGGGGTGTCTCGGGGGACGCCGCATCTGGCCAAGCCCCGGCCCCGCGCGCGGCCCCGGCCCCGCGCGCGCCCCCGGCCCCGCGCGCGCCCCCGCCGCCAGCGCGCACCTGCACGGTCCCGGCCTGCCCCGGAGCGCGCGGCCCCGCCCCCGCCGCCCATTGGCGGGCGCGGGGGGCCGGGCCGGGCCGGGCCGGGCGGGACGCGCGGCGCGCACCCCCTCAGGACTACGTTACCCATGAGGCACCGCTGCCGCCGGCGGAAGTGCGTGTGGCCCCAGGGTTTGTGGGAAGTAGGGCCTTTCCTTTCCGTCTCTGGGCGCCATCAGGTGAGGGCCGGTCCGCGCGCGGCCTTTCCCTCAATCCGCGCCCATCCCGGGATCCGGGCGCCCATCCGGCCGGCCCGCCGCCGCGCCCGCCCGCCTCCGGGTGGGACGGGGCTGCTCCTGCGGCGCGGAGCTCTGGCGGGCCGGTGGAGCAGGGCCCGCGGGCTGCGCCGGGAGGGGAGCGGGGCAGCCGCGGTGGGCCCGGCGCGCCAGGGCGGGCGCGGGTCCGTGACAGACGGCGCGCCCTGGCTTGCTTCGGGCCTGCGGTTTGATCGCGGGGCTTTGTGCAATTGGGCCCTGAACAGGTGGGGTGGCTGGGGATGGGAATGGATGAGTTACAGCTGGGCAGGTTCCAGCGAGGGGTATCCAAAATCACACACGAACTGTTTATGGCGTGTTTTTACACGTAAATAAAGTGAGCTGCGTGTAGCTAATGGTGAATTGGGTGGGGACTTGATGGAGCTCAGGTACATGTGCTGATTGCTGCAGAGGCCTCAGCTTTTTAGGAAAACAGAGTAAACGTGATGACGAAGTAAAGTAATACGTGATATTTGAAACGCTTTCAACTATTCAGACATACTCATTTAACACATATTTGTATTTATACTATTAAGACATACTCAGCTCGGAAGAGGGAGTTTGTAATAATCATTGTTTTCTTAAGGACAAAATTTGACCTGTAGGAACTTTGTCTTTAGCCTTTCCTCTGCTGAAGTCAATACAAACTACCCCCGATGATGCTCAGCACAAAAGATTTTTAAAAACAACTCTTAAGAAAGCCCACAGTGCATCTATGAAGTAAAACACAAATGTCAGCAGCAGTAGGACACTGAGCTATGACACTTCTTTTTTAGTATGATACAGTCAGTACGCCTCATTTTACTTAAAGCCCAGTTCCAGCAGATATCGGGGAAGGCCTTGTCCTTCTGAGATGTGGTAGACACTGTGTGAATAGCTCCAAGGAAGCAAAAGTCCCAATCCAGTTAATTTCTTAAGCAACTGTTAAACTGCCACTTGCTAATAAAACTGTTAAGCTTTCATTTAGAAGTAAAACCTTTATAGGAAAGTCAGAGTAAACAACAAAGGCCAGACTTCTCACAGCCCTGTAGTTCTTGGTAGTATGTAAAACTTGATTTAGGTGTTAATTATTGGGTTCAGTAGTATCAGTCATAGCGCATCCAAAAATTTCTCAGTTGAGGAGTTTAAACACTTCAGAATAAGTACAAAAGGAAGAAAATTGCTGGGAATGATGACTGCAGGGTGTCATGCTGAAGGCTGCCAGGTGTGATCCATGTTCCCAGATGTGTCAATGGTACAGAGAAGCGCGAGAGCTCCCTGTCTTCCAGTGCTGTTCCATGTGTGATTTGTTGCAGTGCCCCTGTCGGAAGATGTTCCTGCTGGGAGTTGTTTTTGGTGCAGTGTTTTCACCGAGCTCTCTGTCCAGCAGGTAGACAGACATGGGTGCCTACAAGTACATCCAGGAGCTGTGGAGGAAGAAGCAGTCGGACGTGATGCGGTTCCTGCTGCGCGTGCGCTGCTGGCAGTACCGCCAGCTGTCGGCCCTGCACCGCGCCCCGCGCCCCACGCGGCCGGACAAAGCCCGCAGGCTGGGATACAAGGCCAAGCAAGGTACTGGCACGGACAGGTGCTGTCTGTGTGCCTCACGATGCAGTGACATCGGCTTCCTTTGGTGACAGCAGACTAACAAAGTCTGAAACTGAAGTATCCCCCGATAAACTGGTGTGTCCTGAATGAAATGAGCAGAGTATCCTAAATGTCCTCAGTTGGTAGCAGTGCCCACAGCCTAAAAACCTTCACTTAATTTCACATCTCTGCCTTCTCTTGCCATTCTGGCAGGTGAAGATCAAATGGGCTTTGGCCTCAATTTTTGTTCTTGTGCAATGTTAGTGCCACACAATTGAGAAGGGTTTTTAGTATCCTAGGTTTGGGGGATGTCCTTTCTCTACCTAAGTTTTGTCATGTGTTACTTTGACTTTTTCAGGTGACTGAACTGTGACCTTGAAAAAAGCTTCAAGAGAACTGGATAGAGATTTGCACAAGAGCATGTAGTGACAGGAAAGGGGAATGGTTCTGAATTGAAAGAGCAGGTTTAGAATAGATACTGGGAAGAAACTGTGAGGGTGGTGAGGCACTGGAACGAACAGATTGCCCAGAGGAGTTATGAATACCCCATCCCTGGCAATGTCCAAGCCCAGGTTGAATGGAGCTCTGAGCCAGTTAGTCTGGTGGAAAGTATCCCTGTCCAGTATCCCCCCAGGCAGGGGGGCTGGAACTGGGTGATCTTTAAGGTTCCTTCCAACCCAAGCCATATTATAACTATTACAGCTGCATGCTCTTGAGCAAGATGATGGAATTTGTACTGTCATTGAAAAACAGTTACTGGTCAGGGAAGAAATGGGAAAAGTGGCTATCCATGTTAACTTGTGGAAATCCATGTATTTATTCACAAAGATAATAAAAAGCTAAGATGTGACCCTTCTGTTACTGTTTATCTAGTTTTGTCATTTCTCAGTGACCAGATTTCAGCAGGGTTTGTGGATGGCTTGTGCTTTTTGAGTGGTGCCCTCTGAATTGTGCAGTTTGGTTAGTGGTTTTGCTGATCTTATTTGGTTTGGGACTGGATAGTGGAAGGGTGCCGTAAGCTCTGGTTTGGAACAGGATATCACTTTCCTTACTCAGTTGTAATGAAAATAACAAAATTGCCTTGCACTATCCACCTCAAGCTGTAAATTTTGGTAAAAATTGGTAAAATGACTTTGTTGCGGCATTTCATGTAAATTCTGGGGGATTGGAAATGCAGTACAATTGCTACTAGAATTGTTCTAGTTCCTGAGTCGCTGTTTGTTTTAGGTTACGTTATTTACCGTGTCCGTGTTCGCCGTGGTGGCCGCAAACGCCCGGTCCCCAAAGGTGCAACCTATGGTAAACCTGTGCATCATGGTGTTAACCAGCTCAAGTTTGCCCGGAGTCTTCAGTCTGTAGCAGAGGTGAGTGTTTTGGTTGTTGCTCACAAATTTGGGTTGGAAAGTTTTAGTCTGTAAAAGCTGAAAATACTCAAAGACAAAAAGTACAACGCCGAACCAGCTGTTTTGTTAATAAAGTTTTTAGTAAGATTCTGAATAATGGTGGCAGGAAAGCAGCATGTCTTTAAAAGCTCTATTGAGACAATAAAAAAACTATTCAGACTTTTAAAATGGGGTCTATGGGAACCACTTGAGTGGTTTAGTGAGGTTCATACTTCTCAAGTATGCCACAATGCTTGTTATGAAAAACACATAACTAGTCCAAGCCACACTAAAATAGCTAGGCATGAGAAGTAAGAACTTGCATGTGCTAAGGTCTGACATGTCAATAAATCCCACTCCTGTGTTCTCTGCTGTGTGCTGTGGGTCACCAGCTGCTAGTGATGGTCCTTTCACAAAGTACACGTGAGTTCCTGTCTTAAAGCCTGTAGCACCTGTTTGTGTAGTAGTGCTGCGCAGCATGCTTAGCTGTATTGCAGGAGCTGAAGGCTGTGTGCCAGAGACCTTCTGCTGCTTTATAAAAAACTGATACCTCACAAGCACACAGCTTGGTGGTTAACTTATTTTTAGGTGAGATCTTGTTACTGAAATACTCAAAATGTAAACTTGGATTTGATGAGATCTTATAAGCTTCATTGCTATCACAGTTGTAGTCTGGAAGAGATAGACTTCTCACCTTTACAAAAAAAAACCTTTTTCAGTGGGTTAGTTAATACCAGGCTGCATTCTCAAACTAGATGTTGTGGAGGAAGGGTGTCATTGCCTTTCCATCTTGAAGCAGAAGACTTTTCTGTTCTCAGGACTTTGAAAATATTGCTGAGTGACTTCTGCAAGTTGAATATGGTGGAATGTTTTTTTTCAGGGTAAAAATATAAATGGGACATGTTTATTTAAAAGAAACACAGGTGATGAGTTTGAATTAAAAATGTTATTCTGTTATCAGTGCTCATGGCATTCTCTTCATATGTGTTATTCCCAGCTACCTAATGGCTAATCACATGCTCATTTAGAATAGCTATGGAAGAGGTTATTTGCCCTCAGCTTTAGCTTCAAATTTTCTGAATCTGACAGAGTCTTTCCAGAATATTTAATTTTTTCAGATTACAGAAATGCAAAGCTTCCATTGGAGCTCCCATCCTTGAATAGAAGCTGGTTGATGGTGATTGGTGTTCTAATATTTCATACAGCTGTTGCTCTCACACTAGAATAAAAGGACTTGAGAAAATGTTATTCCATGTGCAGAAAATAGTCAAGCTGTGTAGGACAGCCTGTAACAATAGGTTAAGGTTACATTGGGGAAGAAGATGAATAGGGTCCGTTGGTTCATGCTTCCCCATGATGATGATAAAGTCCTACAATTAAACACACTTAGTGTATTTTAAATAAGGAACATTCGTGACAGAAGAAGCAGATTGAGTTGTAGAATTGCTATTTGCTACTTAGTTTTGTTTTCTGAACTAAGATTGTGTCTTCCTAACCACAAGTGAGGATAGGAATAGCACACACTAATTCACCAGCAGTGGTACAAAGGTCTGTTGCATCAGCGATTCCTGTACTCCCACCAGTACAGGCTTACACTCTGCAGAAATTTATTTCTCCCCTATAGCTTTGGATGTGGAAACCAATCAGTCTTTCATAACTTCCCATAAAAGATTGTTCCATGACCCCAAGTGCAGCTCATGCTCTTCATCTTCACGTTGAAGTTATTTTTAACATTGTGTTTTTACTGACTGGGTGCTTCTGTGTACACAGAATTCTTTCTTCTGTCAACCAAGCACCTTCCT